CTGGTGCAGGACCTACTGACCCAGGTGCGGGCCGGCCCTGAGTCCCAGGAGCTGCAGGGCATTCGCCAGGCACTAAGCCGGGCCCGGGCCATGCTGAGTACAGAGCTGGGCCCTGAGAAGCTGCTGCCGCCTGAGAGGCTGGGTGAGGCCCCAGCTGGGCCTGTGTTGACCTGGCCCCTGTCTCCATAACTCCAGCTCTTCCCATCCGACCCTCTCATCTTCTCCAGGGCTCCAGCCTGTGTCTCTGATTCCATTCTGCTTTACAAACCCGCCTTGTCTCACCACTATTCGAGTGAATTCCGTCCCCGGCCTCTCCCTGCACTCTCCCGTCCCACCCAGGTTCCTCCTGCCGCGTGCGTCTCCTCCCCTTCTGCTTCTTCTCCCTTCTCTCCTGGACTATGCCTTAAGCCCTGCCCTTCTTCTCCTGACGCCTGCCTCCCTTCTCTGGCAGATCATGTTCTGGAAAAGTCGCTGCATCGCTCTGTGCTCAAGCCTCTCCGGCCCATCCTGGTAGCCCGCCTGCAGCGCCGGCTGTCCGCAGACGGCTCCCTGAGCCGCCTGGCTGAGGGCCTCCGCCTGGCCCGGACCCAGGGCCCTGGAGCCTTCGGGTCCCGCCTGAGCCTGCCCTCTCCGGCAGAGATGGAGCAGGTGCGCCAGAAATTTCTGCAACTGCTCCGCGCCTACTCCCCCAGCGCCCAGATCAAGCGGCTCCTGCAGGCCTGCAAGCTGCTCTACACAACCCTGAGGACCCATGAGGGTATGTCCCCTCCCACCTCCCACTGTCCTGTCCGAGCCAGAGGCAGGCCCTTCAGAGAGAGAACCCTAGGACCCTGGAACGGCATAGCAGGGGAGAATGACCCAACCCTTCCATCTCACAGATGGTGAAACTGAAGCCCAGAGAATGGAGCATCCTCCGTGCAGCCCCTCCATGTGGTTGCTAAGGCCCAGCAGGCAGAGAGGAGGGGTCACTCTCTAAGGCAGGGATTGCCCTTTGACCCTGGACTACAGGGAAGCCTAAGCTTTCTCCCCCCACCACGTCCCCATAGGAGAGGGTGCAGGTGCCGATGAGTTCCTGCCACTACTGAGTCTTGTCTTGGCCCAGTGCGACCTTCCCGAGCTGCTGCTGGCGGCTGAGTACATGTCAGAGTTGCTGGAGCCTACCCTGCTCACTGGAGAGGGTGAGGAAACCCCCAACTCCCTGTCTGGGGGGCCCTGAGTAAGCTGGAACGGGGAGAGGGAGCAGGTCACCCCGTGCCCAGCCAGAGCTGTGTTCTTCCCCCGTGTGTCCCAGGCGGCTACTACCTGACCAGCCTCTCGGCCAGCCTGGCCCTACTGAGCGGCCTGGACCAGGCCCACGTGCTCCCCCTGAGTCCCTCCCAGGAGCTACAGCGCTCCCTCAGCCTCTGGGAGCAGCGCCGCCTGCCCGCCACTCACAGCTTGCAGGTAACAGCCCCTCCCTGGCTTCCACCCAAACTAGCCAGGCCCAGAGGGGCACTGGCACCCTCAAGTGCAGTCCCCTCCTCTTCCGAGCGAGACCCAGCAAGGGCTAGCCCTGTGTCACCCTGCAAGAGAAGTAGCATCCTACCCAAATATGAAAGCCGGTCCTTCTGTGCTGAGACTCCAGGGGCAGCCTCCCTAGATCTTCACAGAAACTCTGAAGCAGGACCATTGACTATGCCCATTTTACAGATGGGGAAACTGGTCGGGAAAAGATTCAGGTGGCAGACTCAGGCCCCAACTCCTGGCCTTCTGCCCCCAGCCAAGGCTCTGCCTCCCTTGCCCTACCCATCCGGGGTTCGTCCTGGGTGTCCTCAGAGTCAGACATTATCCCTACCCTTTGCCTTCCTAGCCTTGGCTCTGTAGCCAGATCCTGGATTCCAATCCTGGATCTACCTTTCTTTTTTTCTTTTTTTTTTTTCTTTTGTTAGGTTCTGTCACCCAGGCTGCAGTGCAGTGGCATGATCACAGCTCACCACAGCTTCAAACTCCTGAGCTCTGGTGATCCTTCTGCCTCAGCCTCCCGAGTAGCTGGGACTGCAGGCGCACGCCCAACTAATGTTTTTATTTTTTTTGTAGAGATGAGTTCTCGCTATGTTCCCCAGGCTGGTCTGAAACTCTTGGGATCAAGCAGTCCTCCCACCTCTGCCTCCCAAAGTGCTGGGATTACAGGTGTGAGCCACTGCGCCTGGCCTCTACCACTTCTTGATTATGGAGATTGGGCAAGTTCTTAACCTCTTTGTGCCTCAGTTTTGTCATCTGTAAAATGAGGAAATAGTACCCACCTCCTGGGGTTGATGTGAGGATTGAGTGAGTTAATGCAGGATGGGTGCTTGGAGCACAAAGTATGTTCTATTTGAGGTTCACCTGGGCTTGTGAGATTCCCATGGGCTGTCTTTGTGCCTCCTCCCTGGCCCACGAGCCCACCCTCTGAAGCACACAGACCTTCTGCTCGTTTGCTCTGCCACTGGGTTTCCACCACCCCACCCTGTCCCTGCCCTGGCCCCCTAGCGCTGGAGCCAGATGCATGCTGGGCAGGGCTGAGAACTTGGTTTTAATTCTGCTCCACAGAACCTCCTTCGAGTAGCCTATCAGGACCCCAGCAGTGGCTGTACCTCCAAGACCCTGGCCGTGCCCCCAGGTGCCTCAATCGCCACCCTGAACCAGCTCTGTGCCACCAAGTTCCGAGTGACCCAGCCCGACACCTTCGGCCTCTTCCTGTACAAGGAGCAGGGCTACCACCGCCTGCCCCCCGGAGCCCCGGCCCACAGACTGCCTACCACCGGCTACCTCGTCTACCGCCGAGCAGAGTGGCCTGAGACCCAGGGGGCTGCCACAGAGGAGAAGGGCAGTGGGCAGCCAGAGGCGGGGAGCAGAGAGAAGCAGGGGGGCTCGGGAGATGGAGCCACTGGGAGCCAAGCCAGCCCCAGCGACAACGGGGGAGAGTCTGAGGCAACGGCTGATGGGGACACAGGGCAGGCCAGGGCAGGCACTGCTCCGTTAGGGGAGCGGGAGGCTGGGGGCAGCCAGAGAGCAGATGAATAACTGGAAGTAGCAGGAAGGGAGATTTACTAGAAAGGCATTCAGAGCCAGCAACCCCACTAGCCTCTGGCCTCCTTGGCTACCCCCAACCCTGGCCCTTTCTCGTGTCTGCCACCACCTCTTTCTGAGACTTATCTCTGGGGGAGCCGGGGGAATGGCCACATCTAAGGAGCTGGAGTAAGATGGAGGGGGTTCGGGGGACCCCCAGCTCTGTGGAGGCTAGGCAGGCTGCAACGATGAGTGTGCCCAACTGTGGACAAATCTAATAGATTCCTAACCTCTGACATTGATGGGGGCAGTGGTCCCAGCTCCCCACCAAGGACACCGAGGCAGGGCTGTATACCCTCAAGGCTGGGGCTTCCACGCTCTGAAAGGCTGCAGCCACTCCTGAGGGTCAGGAGCATTCAGGGAAGCAGCAATGACAGCCTGCCCCAGACCCTGGAGAACCCACATCTGCAAGCCTAAGTGTGCTCATCTGTAAAGTGGGGGCACCATCCTGCCCTGCCTGTCTCCCAGAAGTGTTCCAGGGCTCAACATGGATGATTTTGCTACAAGCAGAGCTCAGACTAGGGGCAAAGGGAAGGTAGGAGGTGGGATGGGAGCTCTCACCTGCTGACGCACGGTCTGTCAGTTCTGGGAAGGTTATTCCCCTGGAGATCAAGCCCTGGGAAGAAAGCACCCGTGTTCTCTCCCCAAGACCAGAAGCCCTCCCAAGAGCTCCAGCATCCCGGGGCAGTTGCTCAGGGGAGATAATGCCCACCCGCAAACAGAGAAACTTTGAGAATAGAGAAGGGGTCTGGGAAACCATTTTCTCTGCACTAATCTCTTGGCCCTCACAAAAGCTTCGGGGAGCAGGGCATGGCTTGTTAGGGCCACTAAGGTTCAGGAAAGTGATGCCCAGGACGTCAGACAGTAAGTCACCAGGTGTTCCCCCACCCAAACCAGGGCGTCAGATTCCAACGACACCCTTTATTCCACCGACAATCCCTCATGGCCAGGGCAACCCCAAAGGGGAGCCCGGAGCTGCGGCGAATCTCAGCAAAGGACAATGCCCAGCACCAACCACGAGGGGGCGTGCGCGGCCCAGGAAGCTGCGGAGAGGGGCGCCGCTGAGGGACAAGGGCCACAGCAGCATGGGGGTTCACTGCCTTGCACTCCTATAGCCATCGGACCACCTGGTGACAGCACAGGACCTGGGGCTGCTGGCCCTCAGGTCCCCTGATGGAGGAGGAGCCCAGTCAGTCTCAGAAGCTCTCCCCTCGGGCACTGAGCACAAAGGGACATCAACCCAAGTGTGAAATGTGACACCTGGGAGTAAAAATCGTGGACTTTCAGATGGATGTCCAGACACAGCCCAGGTGCCTAACGAGGCCACCGACAGCTTTTCCCTCGCCGTTGCCTCGCTCCCCCTGGCTCCTCGCCGGTAGGAAGCGTCCCCTTGGCAATTTTGTGTGTCCTTCCTGCCTGTCTTACCCCCCACCCCAGTGCCTTGTACAGTACAATGCTGAGCCGAGCACTCCACAGGCGCTCAATAAATGTTGTCCACCGACTGGAGTTTAATAACTAGGAGCGAGGGGCAGCAAGGCGGGAACCTGGGGAGGTAGGGAGGGCTGGTTCAGGATATATCCAAGCTCAGTCCCAGAGGAAGGACCTGGAATGTTTGTTTAGAGAACCTCAGGGGTCAGAAGTAGAGCTGGCCTCATGGGAATCGGGCTCTGGGCTTCTTCCTCTGGGCCTCCATAAGCCCTTCCCTGCCTTGGTGTGGAGTCCTGATTCCTGGCTCTGGGACTCAGCTCACTGGAACACTGCAGGCCCTGCCAGCCGCCTGGGTCTTCCGGTTTATCTTCTCAAGAGATGCGGATGGGTCAGGGGTCCAGGCTAAATACAGCAGCACGGACAAGGGTCATGATGTAGGGCGGGGCCTCCAGGCAGGGCAGGCGGGTGGTTGGCCAGTGTAAGAGCAGTCTATTATCCTCATTTTACAGGCTTGCTCGGGATAAGTGGCTCAGACGCCAACCAGATTCTGCAATCCTCCAAAACAGAAGGACTCATTTAAGTGTCCACTCAGGGGGAATCTATCAAATGTTCGTTATAAACCAAGCACTAAGCACCACAGCCCCAGCCGAAGGGAAACAACCTCTTGCCATGCTCGGGGTGCGATCTGGACAGTAACAGCGCCCACTGTGTTCCAGGGAAACAGCACCACCCTTCCCCCATCCTTGCCACCACCTTGGTCCTTATGGAAGAGAAAGCCAAAGCCCCAGGAGGTGACGTGCCTTGTCCAGCGTCGTCCACTGCTTGCACAAGGACTGAGCGGCCAAGCCCGCTTCCCTCTCTTGGAAATGTTGCCCTTATCACTCCTAAAGTCACCGAGTTCAGCCTGCGAGTTTATTTATTGTCTGTCTTCCTCACTGGGATGCCAAAGCCAGCTCGGCCTCGTTCCCAGCTGAATCTCGAGGGCCTAGAACAATGCCTGGGCCAGAATTGGCACTTCACAAATACACGTGGAATGAGTGAATCGTGAAGACCCAGCCTCCCCAGGCCATCGGCGGGCGGCGCATTCTTCACCGCGGACACCAGGGGGCGAGCACGCCTCATGCCCAGCCAGGTCCCCTCTGCTAAGGCCACCCAGAAGACCCAGGGGACACAGTGTCCCTGCGCCCTGCCTGGTGCTAGGAGGAAAACAGCTCCACAGTGAGGCGCTGGGACTGTCCCGCGAACAGGGGGACGAAGGAGTGGCCGCCTAGTCCCGGTTCTACCCGTGAGACTGGCCCAGGAGCCTATGGCATGGCCTGAGATGGGTAGGGTGTCAGGCGGTCACTGAGACTCACACCACTACCCTGACCCTCCTTCAACACAGAGCCTCTAACACTCTGTCATGGCCTCGTGACCCACGTTCACACTCTCAGTGTAACACACAGTAACTCTCTGACCCACATTCCCACCCAGTCATGTGCATGACACCCAGGCACCCCCAGTGTTAAAAGGCACACCCTGACACCATTGACCATTCACACCCTGCAGGATGGTACACGGGGACACACAGGCGCCCCTCCTTCCAGCCACACCCTGACACAGACCAACCACCCACTCAGACATCCCTAGATCTGCAAACTCAGAAATATTTCCTTAACACTCTCCCTCTTGGATTCAGGATGAGACTCCCTGACACACACGGTGGCAGACTGACACAGGGACCCCATGACACACTAGAACTACCCGCGGACATGCCCAAATTCCCCACTCAGACACAATAGTATACACTATCCCAAGATACAGTAGTGGTTTTCCCTTCCCACTCTCCAAGCACTGGAAATGCAAACACACACACACACACACACGCACGCACACACACACACACACACACACACACACACATCTCTTTTATACTTTTGAGCACACAGAAGAGGCCCAAGCCCCTCTTCTGACTCACTCCCAACCCTGGCCTATCCCACCACCACTCACCCACCCCAGCCAGCTCTGGACCCTGGTGGGAACCGTGGGTTGCTGAGAAGACCCCCATGAGGGGCGTGGTGACCCTACTGGCCAGGCAGGAGGCAGAGGCAGGCAGCACTGGGCGGGGAGGCCTGAGCTCATCAGATTCCAGCCTGAATGATTCACGGGAAGAGCCCGGGAGGATCGGGGAGGGGACACTGGCCCAGAGACTGGGGCTTTGGGGACCTGGGTGGGCTTTGGACCAGAGGGTTCTGGTCCAAAGCAAGCCTGGAGTCTGGGGTGAGGGGCTTCTGAGGGGGATGGCCCAGCCTAGAAGGGTGCCTTCTGGGTGCGGCTCCTGGGAGGGGCTTAGGACACAGCTGAGCCGCAGCATGAGACAGTTGGCCCTTCCCGCCCACCCCGCCCAGGACCTGGGCCCCTGACCCGGCATCTTCCAGGTCCCAGCAGCTGAGTGTCTTTAGCAGGGGTCAGGCCAAGGGTGGGGGGCAGGAGTGGAGTGACCCTCATGGCCCATCTCGGCCCCTCAGGCCCTCAGGCAGGCAGCCGGAGGAATCTCCAGAGGCCCCAGAGGGCTGGGCCCGTCTGGCTGGGTCGGGGCTGACAGGGTTACAGACCCGCACGGCCCTGCCAGGCGAGGCCCCTGCCAGAGCAGAGAACGCTTGGCTGTCCCAGTGCCAGGGATGTTTTCTTGCTGAGATCGAGCCCTCTGCTCCTGCCACCCCCAGACACCCCTGCCTCCCAGGCCAGGCTAATGCTCAGAGGAGGTGGGGGTTATGGGCGCCCAGACCCAGCTGCAGGGTGACAGGAAGAAAGGATGGGGCTGGGGGCAGGGCGGGGGCACAGGAAACGCCTTTCTTGGAACTGTGCACCAAAATAGTCCACTCTGTCCCTACTCTGGGTCTTAGTGTCCCACGGGGAGGTGTGTCACCAAGGAGACCCTCAGCAGGGAGGGGCCTGAGCTGACCTTAGTCTGGCTTTTGCTCCCAACCCCCTCTCACCCCCTCCACCCCCACTGCGGCCTCTGCTCCACTTTGAAGTCCTAACATAAATATCATGTCTGCTTGGGTTCCCCTTCCCGGCCTGGTCACAGCCCCCAGACCTGGCTCCCGCCCCAGCCAGCCCCAGGGGGTGGGGTGTCAGGAGAGAGGAGGAAGGCCTGGACCACCCAGGGAAGGTGATGAGCCAGAGACCCTGAGACAGAGACAGGGAGATACCAGAGATGGAGAGGGAGACAGGAGAGGCAGAGAACGGAGAGACAGACCCAGAAGCCAACAGAGGGATAATCCCAGGGGCAGGAGTAGAGACAGAGAGAGACCTCAGAGAAAGAGAAGAGAAGCAGAGAGAAAGAGACCCCACAGAGGGAGACAGAGTGAGACACAAGAAATCCCTGAGGACAGTGGGGGCAGAGAGAAGAGAGCACTGGACAAGAAGAGAAGGGGAAAGTAAGAACCTTCCAGAAATGGGGTGAGGAGAGGCCAGAATGGGGGGAGCAGGAGGAAGGATGTAGTGTAAAGACAAACATCCCTGGCCACAGTGAGATCAGCCATCTCGTCTGCCGAGACCCGATAGGGGCCTGGGACATGGGACTTTGGGTAAGACTATCCCCGAGAAAGGCTGCTTGTACCCTGAGGAGGTGACCGGGGTCCTTGTGGCTCTGACACGTGCCCCAAGACTCCTTTCTTGTGGGCAGATGTGGCCAGATGTTCGGGTCAGGCATCTGCCAGGGGAGGGAACTTGGGTCCCAGCTGGGCCTAGGTTGAGCAATCCAGGGGGCAGCCATATGCTTCTCCCTCACAGCTGTGGGCACAGGTGCGGACTTGTGGGGACACACGCCATTCACAGTGATGCACACATGGTCGTGCACCCACGAACACATACCTGGCCTCTCTCCGTGGCTGAGACATCACCCTACCCTCAACCCCCACCAGCTGCAGGATCCTTTACCCTCAGGGACCAAGCCTAGTCAGGACGACACCACTTCTTCCCACGCCCGTCTTCAAGTCTATCTCTCCCATCCGTCCAGTCCCCGGCACCGCCACCTCCCTTTCCCGCAAGACTGTCCCATCCAGAAGCACACAGGGTGCGGCACCCGACGCGACACGTGGGGCCGGGGAGGAGGCTGCAATCGCTCCCTTCCCTCCCCCACTCCTGCCTGGGCTGGGACCCCCCCCTGCTCCAGCTCTCACCCAAGACCAGTCGACTCCCGCCCACCCGTCAGCCCTTCCTCCTGACAGCCCGAAGGCTGGGGTGGTTTGAGAAGAATTTAGACATGGAGGGAGGTGGGGGGATGGGAACAGAAGAAAAAGGAGGAAGGGAGGTGATTTGTACACAAAGCAATGTGCTGGCTCAGCGGCCTGGCGTGCCAAGGCTGTCCAGGACGCCTGCCCGGGGGGCGCCCCCCAATCACACTCGACCCTCCCACCCTGGCTGTTCCACTGGGCCCTCTCTGGGCCGGCCCCTCTGCAGACTGCCCTCACCCTCACCCCTGCACGCTGCATCCAAAACCACCATCTGCCTCTCGCTCTTCCCAGGAGCTGCAAGACAGGGCACTTTCTAGAGGAGTGGGCTTCTGTGCTCATGTTCCTCTTAAGGTGAGCTCTCCCCATTCGGCCATGACCAGAGCAGGGAGCTCCAGCCAGCCCCAGCCACCTGACCGCCAGTGTGAGCTGAGCCTGGAGTCCTGAGCTCGGACGGTACACCGTCACCACCCCCAGCTAGAAAGAACACATGGGCCTCAGGGCCCAATAGAGAACACAGGCTGTGTGATATCTCACCGGACCCCCGAGGGTTGAGCCAAAGATGCCCTGCCTTCCTGGGCTGTGCTCTTTCAGAGTTG